GGAGGATTGATAAAATTATCACGCCGTTTACTTTTTTCCGCAAGTTTACTGACTGAATGCCTGGAAAAAAGTCTCCTACAAGTCGTAGAAAGCTCTGGCAGAAATGCGCCTTTAGGTTCATTTACTGAGTTATCTATTCGCTTGTTTTGGCAGGAGGACCTTTTGCGAGCTTTCCCGAGCGTAACATCGACTGGCTCGGGGGCGTGGATCGATGGTCAAGCTACTCACTGGTACAGTTGGTTACTGATGACTGTTGGGGCGTGGTGCGAGACGGCTTTTGAGTTCCTGGAATATTGCTTCAAAGCTTACATGGAAAGAATGCGGAAAATGAACACCGGCTCTCGTAAAATAAGCCGATGAATAATAAAGTTCTTAGATGAATAATAAGGTTCTTAGCGCGTAACAGTCTGTGCACAATCATCCATGGACAAAACTCACATAAGAATGCATTTAATGTAATTGGTTACTGGAGCAGCCTACAAGTTGACCCCTCAAATTGAGTAAAGGTTTTAGTATGTTGAATACCGTTCTGACAGAAGAGAGAATTACAAAATAAAGCCAAGTAACAGCTCTTGTAATAAATGAAAATTCTTTGACACTGTCACCCCTAAACCTATCTTCTGTCATTAGAAAAAGTTCTACTGATCAATACATGGATTACTCCTTAAGACTGACGTCATGGGCAAATGGATTAAGGGTCAATCGATCACCACACCAATTAGCTAAATCGAAAAGGAACAAAAAAAAAAAAAAATAGGACCAGCAGTTTGGCTTAGATTTACTGCTCTAGACGATATGACTTCAAAGCGAGACTACCAATAATTGTAACAAGTATTTTACTCGATTACGATTTAAGTGAGAAATTGCAGTACTAATCTTTTACAAGAGGTGTTTGCTTCAGTTGCAAGAAAATTGATCGCATACGAGAAACATCCTTGGTATTTTTTGTTCCCTTGGGATTAAAGTCGCAGTTGCGGCACACTCGTTCCCAGTCATGACCAGGAGTCGAGCTGTCATCTCGATCTGCAACAAAGGCTTCCTCGTCCGCCCTACAAATAAAAGTTTCCACGGGATTTTGATTATGACCACACAAAATTTAACAATCAATCTGTGAACGGTATGCTTCTCATCTTTAACAAACAAAACACAGAGATAAAAGAGGCCCATTTACAGATACTTTCTTAATACAACTATCTAAAGCACTCTGAAAAAATATACACTCTTTCAAATGAGAAAAAGCTGTAGAGGTACGCACATTTTTTCATGACTGTAATATGTACCTAACTGTCAGTGTTTACAGTATGAAATAACTAGAACACTCTAATTGGTGGATTGTGATGCTATTTGGTATAATATATTGAATATATTGTGAAAAGATAATATTCTTCGACAGATTGGAAATCCAATGAAACCAAACAAAAAAGGAAAATTAGGAAGCTTTATCAACAAACAAAGCAGTTGAGAGAGATCTTAAAAAAGAACTGTAGACTGTTGACTTCAGCTGTTGGTCAAAAACAATCATACCTGTTGCTTGTTTGTGTTTTTCCTATTTGTTCATCTCGTCTTTCATACCAGTCATTGAGTTCCTTCTTGGCTTTTTCACGCCACTCTTGTATTTCTGCTTTTTCTTCTGTATCCATTTTCTCAAGAAGGGCTGCTTTTTCTTCCCTCCATTTTCTGTAACATTACACATCAATACATAAAAATAAAAAGAATCAAAAATATCTTAGTTACAGAGCAGATTTAAGTCCAAAACAGTCACTGGAAATATAAAAACAAACTTCTTGTTCTTTACTTTAGTTAGGGTTTTTCAGGTATAAAGGACCAATAAAGCAAAGTAACAGTTGTATTCATTGACAACAATATCATTATTTTTCCTCTAAAAGATTACTCTCTTGTGTTTTCTCGGTCAGAGCCTTAACAGAAGACACACATTCCATACCATTACTGGTACACTTGGTGTAAGTGAAGATTTTCCTGTTCACAAGAATTAAAACCACACCTCTCAGGGGAGGAGAGGGTGCGGCAGTTATCACTTGAAAGTTACTCTGGCACCGATTTAGTATGTGCTAAGCTTGAAATGCCACTGCTGGACATTCAGCTCATCCTGGTGCTCCTTGACAAAGTGCCGAGTATTTTTGCAATATTATTATAGATATCAGCTTTTGTAGGTAAATATTAAACAGATGAGGGTCTGGAGAGGGAGTCATACCTCACAGACTCTGGTTCAGAATCCCTTGCAAGTGACACAACAGGCTGGTGATCCCCTGAAATCTGCAGATAAGAACCAAGAATTACCTACACAGTCAAGTAAAACTGACAGCTTGTAAGGTACATACAAAACTGTGTATCTCACAGTGTGGAATAACTTTAGCAAATGAGGGCCAGGTTCAGTAAGTACTCCTCAGTGCTAGTAAGCTTGTGTGATTTTCTGTGATCAATAACATTGATATGTTTGTTAAGAGAACTTGCGGCCCTCTTAAGTCTTGATAAAACAGGTGCAAAATAAGCTCAATTGCAACTTGGTCAATTAGGTTTCCCCCCCAATTTACACTTGGTTGAATTCTCAAAGGCTAACTGCAATCTTAAACTAAGTTTTTCTGATTGGCTATTATGATAGCAATGGTGCAAGTTTTATGGCACTCAACTGAAGACTGCTCTATTACCACTGAAGTTCAAAGAACACTAAAGGGTACAATACAATTGCAGTACATAAGAGTAGGTCCACTGGACTGTTGGTTTATAAAAAAGGCTTGTGAATGACACAGATAAAGAAATCCCCTTGAAATGACCACTTAAAGCATGATAAAACAAACTTTCGGTAAAATTACTTCTTCATCTGCAAATCCATTAACAACTGGCTGATGATCCAGTTCCCCTAACCCATCGTCAAGTCCGTTCATCACCTGTAAAAGAAAACCAAATGTTTGTGCTTTTGATGTCTGATACTAGAAGAGAAATTCCCTTCACAGACCAATTCATGATAACTATCTCTGTTATCCTTTTAGACCCCCCTGGCCAATACCTGGACAGAGAAGGTTGATAAATGAATTACACTTGTTTAATCCAAAAGTTTTTTCATCTGAGTCAGTTCATCTATTTGTTAAGTCTTTCCTTGAGGCAAATAAAGAACTTTTAAAAGGCTAGATAAGGTTATATAAAGAACATTAGTGCGAGCCATTTTGGTTTCAATACCTTATAGTCACTGATCCTCATTTATGAATTCAACATGGTGAATTATGATAAATACACAGAGATGCCTACTTGGCTTAGTTTCATTTCTTTATCATGTTGGACTATTTTGTTGGTTATGTCAGACACTTAGTGATGCCTAATAGATGCTTAATAACAAGCCTAATATTCTCATTTCTTTCCTGCAAAATAATTAAATGGCAAGTGTTTATTCTATTACTATTTAATAAAATATATTGCTCTACAACTTCACTTAAAATGATGTTATAACTTTGACAAAAAGACCGGATACCTGATAAATTGTCACCCTCAACAGATCTCTTCAGAGGCAACTGTGATTTGGTATGGTTTAGACAAAACAAAATGCTTATATGTCACTTATTTATCAATTATTCACCTCATTCTTTATATCAATATCAAAGGCTTTTCTTTTTGAACATAAACGAAAACTTACTTTCATCAAAGCAAAACATTCCCCGTGCATTTAAACTTAACGAAATCAACCGAAATTTTGACGTTAAATATTTCAAATAAAAAGGCAAATAAAGCGAGTTAGTTTTTGTAAATTTACCAACTGTCTTCATGGATCGTTTAGACTCTAAGCATTAATGTGCATTCAATTTTCAAACTTGTGTCAGGTAAAGGAACGATCAAATGATTGATCCTTCGAATTTGAAAGAAGGAACTCTCTCATGTCAAAATTATGTTCAAGTTCTGTCCAAATACAAAGTCAGATAAGACAAAAATTTGTAGTAAAAAAAAAACAAATAGGAAAAATTAGTGGATCCCGATAAAGATGATTCGTTCTAAATAACAATTATTTCAGCGTCCAAACCTTCGTTGACGCCTTCCAACTAAACCATGACAAAACTAAAGATCATATTTTCTACAATATCACAAACCGAGTAGAAATGGCACTGAATTCAGCTAAAACTAAGGCTCCAAGGACCTTACATTAGCTTCTGTCTGTTCTCCGCCGAAATCTTCACCAAGCTCAGCGAGATCATCTTGTTCTCTGGCCAAAAACTCGGCTGCTGGATCTTCCTGAAATTCGTCACTGCCCAAAAGATCCGCCATGTTGGTAACCGCAATGACTCGTGTTGGCACAAAAGTCCCCGGATTAATTTCCCTTCCATGATACTCCCTTGGGACACTGGGAGACGTTTTCTTCTGACGCGAGGCCCTCTGGGTAATTTATTGCGTCATGACAGTCACCCGACAGACATCGTGAAAGATGGTGGGTTATTTTCTTCGCCCTTGTGATGGTCATCTTTGCGGGACTTTTTTTACTAATCTAGAGTATTCATTTCTCCTTAGACTACACTCGTGTTAGCAGGGCTTGGAGTCGCTGGAGCGGCGATAGCAGGTTTGTTTAAAGGGAAAAAAGTATCAATTAACTTGTTTATAACTGCACGTGTTGCATAATTCTGACAGAGGATTTCTTTCGTATTTCAGGCCGCTTTGCGATGCAGGCGTTAAGAAAAGTTAACTTAAATGAGATACCTAAGATTATTCCTAAGATACCGGTAAGTAGTATTAAGAACAAACGAGAAGTCCCTCATCATAAAGTTGCGAGTTCACCTAGTTTACAAACCAGTATTGCACCCGGCTGGCCCTTGTCAGCAAAAAATATCATTTTATGTTTGATTTCTTAACCTGGTGGTATTTTATTTGAATCTCAAATGATTTTGGTATATTATTGATTTGAATCATTTGATAAATAGCGTATTAAATGTTAATGGGGGGTTTGCACGTTACGTCATGGCCGCCATGTTGGTGGACGTAAACAATGGATATCTCGTTAGCTTCTTTTGTTCGCCCACCAGTATTAGTTCCTTTCACCATTGTTACCGGTTTCTCTAGAGATTGGTTGCAAACCACCTATTGAGAGTGTGAAGAAAAGCACCATTTGCCAAAGTAACCGGAATAATATTTTTCTGGCTTTTTAACGCGTAAACCGCTGTATGAAGATAGTGTTTAAAGTAAAACTCGAGGTTCATTTTCTTTCAAGGGGCGAGTAGCACTATTCATCAGGCAGATAACAATATTCACACAATTTACAAACTGATGGATAAGTGTTACCTGATGGGTAAGTGTTACAACTGTAAAGCTTCAAGTGTAAACTTTCACTTGGTGAAAGCAATGCCAATGGTCTTTACTATTGAGCTTTCCTCCACATTCACTAGCATCATACTGCATTCTTCAAAAAATGTATTGCAGTAAGGGTTTAATTATCAGAAAAAATGTGAAAACAGCTCCTTTATCTGTTGGAGTCCTTTTCTCCTCCCTCCCCCTCTTCTCTTTGTCTTCCCTTAAATAACCATAAATAAATAATGGTAACTGAACTGAGTGGAGTGCAATTTGTATAGGTAATCACAGGATTTCAAGTGTAATTTGGAATAAATAAGCACGAGTAAATTTTTTCAAAGACTAACAAAATTGCATGAGTGAGTACAATTTGTGGTCTTTAAAAAAATTTACAAGTGCTCATTTATTCCAAATTGCACGATAAAAACATGTGATTATAATATACATGAAAAAATACGAGGCAGCTTCTCATAACTTCGCAGAAGAAAAGTGTGCACATCATGTGCAAAAAATGATTTGTTCAAACCCTGCAAGTGACATTGACCTTGACATTGACCAATCATTCTGACCAATCAGAATGTCTGGTTTGTTTCTTTCTTTGCACTGAATTAACTTTCTTCTGCACTGAATTAACTCTCTTCTGTACTGAATTAACTGAAAACTGCATTCATCTTAACCAATCAGAACTGAGAAATTTTTTCATGTATATTATTATACAATATATGGTATAGGAGGAAATACCAATTAAACAGGTCTATAATAGGCAGTACGTGTAAACACGGGATTGTTCAGTTTGTGATGTGTGTGTCAGTCGTGGTTTTCATTGATTAATGTTTAGTATTCGGAAGGGGAGGTCTCCCTGAAGGAAGCACTGCAGAGTGAAGTCTTCACACACAAGAGTTACAAGTCCCACCTGTTGAAAGCCAGATGGAAATCAATTTGCTGTGAATATGCAATGCTCCCACCCACAATCCACAAATTTAAGATAATAGTTGGTAAGTTCACTCTTCTTCTTTGGAAATTCCTCTTTCCAAAACTTAGATCTACTCTTCTCCACAGTTATTCAGTAACTTTTTCATAATGGAAATGGGAATTTAGCAGTGGATATTCCATAAGATGGCTCTTCTTGTCCACTGATACTAGGTCTAATTGGAATTTGGAGTGTTTGTTTTTGGAGACCCCTAGAAAGATCCTTGGAGTAAGGAAGAAAACTAACAACAAACTCAACCCACATGTGACACCAGGTCCAAGAATTGAACTAATGGGAGGCGAGTGACCTCACCACCGCCCAATCCCAGCTCCCCAATATTGATTTTTTATTTCATTGTTTTCATAAACCGTCGCCAAGTGACCTGTGAAAATTTAGGCAGACTTAGTACCAACAAAACAGTCTGTTCAACCAGATAATTTTTGATCAGTGAATCAATTCATGAGTTTATGAGTAATTCCCAGGTGACAGTTATTTTTTTTAGTATTATCATTGTTGAGATCCTCTACTTGGTTCACTGACTCCTGGAATGGGCTATGGATGCACTTCATAAACTAACACAAATGGCTGAAGAAATCTTTGGTTTAGATGCGTTTTGTACTGGCAAACAGATACACAAGCAAAAGGAAAATTTGTTGGGTAAGGTGATTGAGGAATTTTTGTTTCCTTTTATTCTTGACACAATTCTGCAGAGCCCTGCTTGCAAAGTAGTGCCCCTGATTTCTATGAGCTTCTACTAGGGACAATGTGTTCTGATGACTGGGATAATACAGGGGTTTCATTAAGGGCCAGGCACCGGGCAAATTGACCGGTTGTGAGGACGGTTTTGCCCACCTGATTTGACGGTCTGGAGGAAAGTTTATCTTATAAAGAAGTTCAGTNGTGCCACACTACTTCTCCTACCATTTATCGAGGTTTGGACTGTGAATCCTTTCGGATCCTTCTAGCGTGGCGTCACTGTTGGCTCGAGGCCTTTTAACGTGTTATATATATATATGTATATAAAAACCTAAAAACTTTGCCCTCGAGTCGGAGAGTGCTCTACAATCATCACTTCGCACTACAGAACTGTTTCGAAAGGGTCTGGTGATCCTCTCTCGTCAGGGGCATAATTTTTCACACCAAGCAATCACTTTTGTTCAACGACAACACCCCATGGAACAAGAAGCATTCAACAACTTCATTTGATGTTACAATGGGCTCGTTTGACGGTGCGGAAACCTGTGAACTAGTGGGATCGTTCTTGCTAAACCAACTACCAGAAGGCATCAGAAAACAAATAGGCTTACACAGGGATGACGGCCTGGGCGCATTCCAGCAAACACCGACAAGGATCGAAAGAATAAAGAAAAATATTTGCAAAGTGTCCGGCAGCAACGGCTTAAAAATAACTATCGCAGCAAACAAAAAAGTGGTCAACTTTCTCGATGTCACTTTGAACCTAAACACAGGATCTTAGGAGCCATATACAAAACCTAACAACGCACCACTTTATGTGCACCGTGAAAGCAATCATCCACCTTCCATCCTAAAGAACATTCCTGGCGATCAACAAAAGGCTTAGCGAAATCTCATCGGACAGGGTATCCTTCGACAAAGCAGCACCCTTGTATCAGCAAGCGTTAGAAGCAAGCGGCGGCTATAACCACCAATTAAAATTTGACACAACAACTGAAGACCAGACGAGTAGAGAAGGGAGAAGAAGACACCGAAATATAACTTGGTATAACCCACCTTTCAGTAAGAACGTTGCTACTAACGTGGGAAGGAAATTTTTATGCATCGTAAAAGAATCCTTTACACCACGGAACCCGCTGAGAAAAATTTTTAATTTTTAATAGGAACACTTTGAAAGTGAGCTATTCATGCATGCCAAATTTGGAGAGAAAAATCAGCGCCCACAACAAGTCCTCCCTCGCAAATAATTCTCAATCACAAGAAAAAATCATGCAATTGTAGTGACAAGCACTCTTGTCTCTACAATTACAATATAATTACAATACAGATCTCAAAAAATCAAACTTGGCGAGGGATGTCCATCTGAGTGGGGATCAATACCATCGGGCGTCCCCCAGGGAAACCAAACTATGGCCTTGGCTTTTCTTAATTATGATCAACTATTTAGTAGTCGAAAATGCTCGCTTATGGAAATATGTAGATGACACCACCATCTCCGAGACGGTTGCAAAAGGGGAGCTTAGTAACGCACAGCGTCGTACAGATAGAGTAACCTCCCGGTTAGCTCATTGGATAGAGCGCTGGACTGTTGAGCGGGAGGTCGAGGGTTCAGCCCCCGGCCGGACCAACACTCAGGGTCTTAAAATAATTGAGGAGAATATGCTACCTTTCTATAACATCAAGAAATAGTTAGATATTCTAGTCTTCTCGGATAGGGACCAATAAATGGAGGTCCCGTCTCCTGCAGGGTTAGGGGTAGGAGACGTTAATTTCCCACTCACGAGATTACTGTGTGATGGATGTCCTCCCCNGCCTGCTGGAGGCAGTTTTCGGTTGATTATTTAATCTTGAGTGACGTTATCAAAACAGCGGTGGGGCGTGCAAAGGATAATGGACTTATCCTCTTGAGGAAGAGTAGAGTAATACAATGGTCCCTGGAAAATAGAGTCCAATTAAACAATGAAAAGTGTAAAGAGATGCGAATATCCTTTTCAAAGTTCCAGCAAGAATTTGAGCCCATTCTCATCAATGGCGATGCTTTAGAAGTGGTAGAAAATGTAAAGCTTTTGGGTCTTAATATCTCCAGTAATTTGACCTGGAATACCCATAGTAATGAAATTGTTAAAAAAGCCTCTAAGAGATTATATTTCTTGATTCAACTTAAGAGAGCCAAGGTTGCTCGTAGTGATCTAGGGCTCTTTTATTCTAGTTGTATTAGATCAATCATGGACTAAGCAGTACCGGTTTTTCACTATAGTTTGCCTAAATATTTAATGCGAGAATTAAAACACGTACAGAAGAGAGCAATGTCTATCATCTGTCCTGGTCATAGCTATCATGAGGCCCTGGATATTATGAAATTTTAAGAATTAGCCATCCATCACGACGAAATATGAGTCACTTTTCGACAAAATTGTAAATGACAACATCACCGTCTTCAAAAGTTAATACCAGCAGCACTTGAAACTACCTACTTGTGAAGGCGTGCGCGACCTTTCAATGTACAACGCTTCAAAACCAGTCGTTTTAAGAAGAGTTTTATTATTTCCTCATGTCTTAAAGCGAACTCATTTTAGCTTTCCCTTTTTTTAGCCGATTGAACGCTTTTTAATAACTAAGTAGTTAATATCTAAATTAGTTTAATTTTACTTGCTGTATTGTGTGAGTAAATACGCAATTCAATTTTTTTTTCACTGCTATGTATTTATGAATAAATAAACTTTAAACCTGTCCGCCAGGTGGCGATTGCCTGATTCAAAATGTGGTCTACCAGGCCACAGTTGAAAGTCCCATGGGAAAGCAAACATACATCGGGCTTACCGCGAACCAATTTAAAACAAGATTTAGAAACCATATGGCTTCATTTAGAAATTAGAACAAAAGGAACGCAACAGAGTTGAGCAAAGATATCTGGTCCCTAAAGGACGCCGAATAGGAATTTGCCGTGACCTGGAAAATAATGGCCCGCGCCAGGCCGTACTCGAACGTAACAAAGAGATGCAATCTTTGCGTAACAGTAAAATTTTTCATTATATGCAGACCAGGGGCGGGCACCCTGAACAAAAGGAATGAACTGGCGAGTGCATGCCGCCACTCAACCAAATACTTGATAAGGCATGCTTGAACCATCAACTTATAAAAGGAACGTTAGTCAACGGGTGTTTTATGCACCTGACGAGAAAGGACCACCAGACCCTTTCGAAACAGTTCTGTGGTGCGAAGTTTTCATTTTTATTTTCCTACACAATAGATTATATATATACAAGGTGTGACTTGATTTTCGTAGAACAGTGCTCAATACATAGAAGTAGAGCGAAGTATATATTGTGGGAGGAAAAAGACAAGTAAACTACAAGTTCATCCCTACAAGCCTGTTTCGTGGTCGCCCACTCATCAGGGGATTTAATGAGAATAAACTTTACCATTGCTTATATACAATATAATTTGCATGATCTAACTAGTCTAATTTATGCAGCGCGAAATTGACAGTTTAGTTGTTGCGTAGGAGGGCTTTGCTTCTGTGGCGGCATGAAGACACGAGTTCATTACGTTTGTTTAGTGTTGATAGTTCGGGCCGGCAGATGATTAGGAATTTTTCTTTGAGGCAGAGGTTACATCTTTTAGTTGAGCTGTTATACGGTGAGTGCGATGAGAGAATGCGCCAGGAAATAAAGTGATCGATGTTGTTGTCTTTGAGGGTCCAGATGTGCTTGCTGAGTTCGGTAGAGTTTCTGTGTTTAGCGTGGCGGAATGATGCGGTGTGGTTTCTGTATCTTGTTTTGAAGTCATTCTCTGTGAGTCCGATGTACGTTTCTGTCGTGTTGTTGTCTTTGCGTGTAACGGAGGCTTGGTAGATTACTGATGGTTGCAGGCAGTTTCCGTCGAGCGGGCATGTGTTCTTTTGTCGGCAGTTGCATGTCTTGTTGTTATCAATGGTAGTGGCGGTGGCGG